GATTATTGAGTTATTAATTCGTAATAAACTCTCAATGTGATTGTGTGTAAATTTTAAGGTGGGAATATGCTAACTGCTCAACTGCAGCTGTCAATTACAGATTTACAAATAAAATATCTCAAATTAGATACAGTTATTGGTAATTTATTTTTAGTATTTAAACAATTTTTGAGATTGATTATAAAAATGTTTTTGGCTTCAATGAAATAAGTGAAATGTATTACAGATTTTTATTAAATTTATTTGGCTATTTTCCATTACTAAAAATATATTTTTTCAATGGTAAATTTATTACAAATGAAATGTACAACACTGTTACAAAAGAATTTTAGATTGAAAATTGTTGAATCTATTATTTATAATATAAGAAATATATATTTAATTTTTTGATTGAGGCCAGTAACTTTTATAAAATGTACATTAGAATGAGCTCTAAAATGTAATATTAATATATGTACATATATATTTTCCAACCATTTGATTTATGTACTTATTATTTTTTTGTTTAAAAAATTAAGTCACAAGTCCAAATTAAAATAAACTCAACTCGAGAGTTAAAATTTCGTATTCCAGTATTATGTTGGATTATTATTTTCTTAAACGTAGTATTTCAGCTCTGATTTGCCGACGCTCCTGCAGCCGACGGCGTTTGTGCGTGCAACATTATGTGGCACTAGATGTTTGGCTATTGATGGACTGAGACATGGACGTAGCTGTGCACTCATGCGGGAGGGGACGGAGTGGGGCAGAAACACTTGTGGCGTCTGCCACACTAATTTCACTGCCCGAAAAATGGCACGCTTGATGGTCACACAATTACGGATGTAATAAAGTAATTTGCCGTAATTGCAATTGAGCCGTAAGGGCGGCAGCTGCGACGCCCGTTCGCCAAGAAGCTGCCACCGCGCAAAAGTTTGCCTTGGAGTAAGTCAACAAGCAGCTCGGCCAACCACCCCGCCCCTGGCACCCGGCCATACGCACCCCTTTCAACTGTAGGTCTTTGTTTCGCAAAGTTTGAGCCCAGTTCGAGCTAGTGCACCCTCCTCTCTCCCTCTCTCTCTCTCTCTCTCTCTCTCTCTCACTCCCTCTGACCGTCTGATAATGTGTGACAATGTCTTGAGCACTTGCCGTGCACAGAGGGAGATTTTGATTTAGCCCGGAATTACCTGAGCAACTGGCTAAGAGGCAGAGCGAGAGCTAGAGCGTGAGAGATTTCTTGTGGCCTTTGACTGCGTTCCAATTTTGCATAGAAAAGTACTTAATTATTGCCTGCCAGCTCCTTGCCACGCCTCTCTGTGGGTGGCGTGTCCGCTTTATCCTTTCAGCAGGCTCTGAGTTATGATGTCTTTATGAGGCTTTTGTCTGCCCTGGCAGACCTTCCAGCCTTGTCCAATCCTTTTGTGTGGTAATGAGCAAGTTAATTCTTATTATTATGGTTATTATGTGTGCGTAGCATTGCTTCTGCTCAGTCTGACTTGCTTGCGTGGGCGAAGCGCTCATAAAGATGGCCCGGCCTCAACAAGTGTGGCGCAATCGAGCCAAACAAACATGGAGCACATAAAATGAGTCTATAAAAACAAATAACGGGGCATGTGGCTGCCAAGTGTCGACCCCCTTTGGATAAACAAACGCCGCCTTCGAGCGCCCCTCAGCACATATCGTGTGGCACCTCGCAGACCTCGTCTATAACGGCTGCCATTGGGAGCCGGTGGGTCTCCGGTTCTTTACCATGGATCTTCGTGCATTCCGGCGTGCTGCGAATATTTCCACATTTGTTTTTGTTTTTCAAGATTTTCAAGCGCTGTACAAATAAACAAATTCATCGATGTTCAAAATTTTATGCTTGCTCACATTCAAAACCGCCTAAAAAATCGTGTTTGGTTATTTGTTTTGAAAATAGCTGCTACATTTTTTTTAATACATTAGCTCTAAAGGCATTAAAAAAAGAGCCACAGCAAGCATATGATGATTTTATTTAAATAAAACTCTTGGAAATTCAAGTCTAGCGAAATATTTTTGTTTAGATAGAACTTTTTCTTAAGAATTTAATGTGTGCTATAACATGCTAATAAAAAATATAAATATAGAAAATCTGTTAGTTGAATTTTTTTATTTATTTAAGTATATTTTGTAGTAAAAATATAATACTTTAATATAGAACGACTAGGACATCGAAAAGGCAGACTTTTGGCATTGACTGTTTGCCTTAAAGTCCCTTCTCCCTTCACTCTTTCAGCCAATTAGGAATTCTTTTGTAATCGGCATACTTCCAGTGCCAGGCGGTGCCTATTCAATAATTATAAATCAATATGAATTCAATAATGGGCTCTTACAATTATTATCTGTAAATGCAAACGCAAACTCACTTCAAGCCACAACAACCACAATTGAGCTGATGGCACACTCAAAGTGGGGGAAAAAAATAACAAAATTCAAACAATTTTCAAGTGTTGCCAACTTAATTAAGTCACAAAATTTATGAGCTCCTTCTGGCTGGCAGCGCCGCCAATGATTATGGGCGCACGCACACACACACACAGACACACAAATTTGACTTTCAATATCAAATACAAATATGCGCAGGAGTGAGAGCAACTCAATTGACACGCGTCGACCCGCGCCACTTACGAAACGCCACATCCCCATCCCCATCCCCATCCCCATCCACATCTCCATCCACATCCACATTCACTTCATGTAGAGATAGAGCTTCCACAACAACAACAACAGCAACAGCAACAGCAACAACAACTGCTCCAAACTCCGCAAATGAAGCCGTTCGCATTCCTGCGCCCCTCGCTCATTGAATCTGTTTCTGTTTCAGTATCTGTATCTGAATGTGAATGTGAGCTCGAATCGAGGCAAGCAGCGCCAAATGACGACGATCGATTTTAACGATTTGTTTTGATATTTTTACGATTATGGGGCATCGTTTGCACAACATAAATAGAACATAAAACTCACATCACATGGCGGCGGGTCACACAGCGTCTATCCGACGCCCGGGACGTTCGAGTGGCGGCAGGAGCTGGCTGTCGTCTCTGTTCGATTCAATTAATAATAAATTAGCTCTGGCTGGGGAAAATCTCAATGAATATTTCCAATTTAACGATGTATGAATTGCACTTTAGTGGCTTTGTCGCATCGAGTTTTAATTGCCCACCGCAGGGCTGAGCCTGAAGCTGCAGAGCGGAGCTGCACTTCGTCCTGCTGCTTTCGAGTTCCTTTTGCCAGCATCGTAAATCACAAGCGCCGCATGCACAGGACTTTCGTAACGAAACGCAACGCAACGCAACAAAAAATATGACAGCAATTGCATTTAAGCGTAATTCTTTTCTAAATATTTTTTGTGCGTTGTCCTTGTTGTTTTATGATGCGTTCGTCCTGCGTCCGCCCACATATGCAAACTACGCACTCTACGTGAATTGTTCGAGTCCTGCCAGCTGCCTACTGCCCGTTGCCTGCTGCCTTCTGCCTGCTGCCTCGGCGACAAATCTGGAGCAAAGTATAATTTCGTCTCTGTGTTTTTTCGTGTGTGTTTGCTCTACTCCTGGCGAATATTTTGTCTGCATTTATGATTTATGGCATACGGTACAGGATGCTTAGACAGCGGCAAGTGTGGCATGCAACACAGCATAAACTCGGCACATGAGCCGCACACTCTCAAGAAATGAATATACGAATCAATAAATCAGGACATATGTTGCTATTGCCTTGCCTCGTATTCCTTGTGCTTGCTGAAAGTATTGCCAAAATGATCTTAATTGGCACTGAGATTAGGGAGAACATCTTTATGAAGCGGACGATTTAATTGTAGGTTAAGATCACTAAAGATCACTAAAGAATCTCAGACAATGAATGCATATTTAAGAATATAATAGTTACATAACAAATAACAATTAGATTTCTCTTGAGATATTGAGATATTTATATAATGTAATAATAATGTATTTGTCAAACTAAGAACTTGTTATAAAATTCATCGATTACATATGATAAATTATTATTTGTTAAAACGTAATTTATATGAAGATATGTAGCTAGTGCTTAATAGCATTAATTTTATATAAATTCTAATTTCTAAAAAATTTATAAATAAATAATTTAAAAATCTAGACACTTACTATATAGTTCAGGAAATCTTCATTTGATTTTTAAATGGTTTTCAAAATTTTTCACATGCATGCCACAAGATGTCGCCTCTTAAATTACTCAAAGTTTTTCCACAATCAGTGAGCATTTTTCATGGGAATAAAATTTGACAAAAGTCACGTGCGGAGCGGCGAGTCTTGTGCATTTGCCATATTAAAATAGAATATGGATGCTTCTCTAGCTGCGCTTGGCAGCACTTCCTGGCTCCCCCTTACGCCAGAAGATCCCTGCGGCCATATGCTGACAGAAGAAACAAAATGGCGGCCGCCAGTTGTGTGTGTGTGTGTGGCAGCCACATGTGGGTGCAGCTACACGAATCCGAGTGCTGCTGCTGATAGATATGCAGGCAGCCCAATTTTCTCCATGTCCTTTGACAGTGGCAAGCGTTTGCCTAAGCCTCAGATGCTCCAGCTAGCATTTCGAGAGATGCGTAGCAGCATTCAATTGTGCATGCCTCGTCTGCAGACTCACTCCCCTTCAGTCAGGGCTGCTGCAGTTGCTGATAAGTCGGAATCGAGCACAAATCGATTGCCCCATCGCTGCGTGTGCAACATGATAAATGTGCGTGTTATCCTCCTCTATAGCAGTTGTCAGTTGCAAATGAATGCCAGCAAGAACAGTTGTCGATACACATGCCACGTCTCGTTAGTGCCACACCAAATACCAGACCCAAATCCCACTCAAATGGAACGAATGCGCTCATCGAAGGCTACCCTGATAAAACTCCACGTCAAGCCAAACTTTCGTATATTGATGTTATTTTATTTAGCATGAAGTCGAATGTTTTATTATAGTTTTGTATTATCTGCAGCTCATAGCAAATGAGCCATAGAAAACAGACAGGCAGATATTGTGAATTATCAATTACATTTACGTTACAATATTTATATTAAGATGTATTTGTATTACATTTGAGGTATTATTATTTGTATCGTAAATATGTTTTTTTTAAATATTATTGTTATCTGAATACCGGTTTTATTTTAGTTGTTTCGCTGGATCTAAGGCATCTAATACATGTTATTAATGTTTTCAGTAAATAAAAAATAATGAAATATTTGTGTTACATTTGATATGTATGTATGTATATGTATGAGTTTATATCAATTTCCGTGTGAGTTAATCAAAAATTGATTGTGAATGTGATGAAAAGGCAAATTCTTTAAGAATCCTGCGAAATGCCTCTATTATAGAGAAAATACATTAAACTTTTCTCCACAACGGATCCAAAAAAAAAAAGTATGTAGATGTATAAATGCATTTCTAGCATGTTGATAATTTAATGAGATATATCATCAGTAGAGTGGAATGCGATTTAAGCAAATGCGCTTCAAGTGTGCCTAGACTTCGTCTAATTATCCTCGTCGGGCTCAAAGATGATGTAGCTAACGCGTCCCTCCTTCTCATTGGGTATGAGGCGCTCCATCGTGGCCACCAGCAGCTCGTTCACGGTCAGTTCCCGCAGCAGATCCATCATCATCATATAGGAGATGCGCAACATGGGCGTGCCCTCCTTGCGCCACTGCTCGATGAGCTTCGTGTTGGCGGTCAGCTCCTCATCGGTGCTAAACATGTAATAGATCAGGCGGCAGCCCCGATAGCCGCGCACCTTAACCTCATGCACTGGCTTCGATTCGTAGCGGCGACCACAACGGCGGCGCTTAGCCCTCGGCCCACTGTCGTCGGTTGTGAAGTCGCTGTCGCTGTCGCTGTCACTGTCGCTGCTGTTTTCGACGATGCTCTCGATGCTGCTGTCGCTGTTCGAGGTCAGCGATGCGTCGGCATCGTAGTCGCTGTCCTTCGGGCTGCTGCTGATATTGAGGTCCTCGATCAGCGATAGCTTGGAGCGCAGCATATGCAGTGGGTTGGTGTCCACGAGAAGCAGCATGTAATGCAGCTGGCCATCCGGACGCACTGTCTTCAGAAACACCCTGGTCTTCTCATCGCTGATGGGAACGGCACTCTGCAGCAGGTGCAGCATGAGCTGCGAAACCGTCACCTGGCCAAAGAGCTTCTCCAGACGCCCCTCTGGCAGGCCAGTCTGGGCACCCGGTGCCATCCAGAGTGTGTCCACGTACAGCTGCGCGGCCAATTTCTCGCCCAACGACTCGCCCAACGACTCGCCCACCAGTTGCAGGCAGCGGGCACAGTGAATATTCCCTCCGCACTGGAGGACGCCCTTGCCCAGGCTCTGAGGACTTATCACAATGTAGTTGATGGCATAGTACAGCTCGCCCTCATCCATTGCTGTGGTCATCCGCTTTTTAGAGCTAAAGTACTTCAGCGGCTCCATGGTGGGAACGGGCACGGGACGAATGGAGCTGAAGCAACGCTCGGCCACCAGCTCATTATAGCAGTTGGTGCAGTGCAGGGCACAGGCCATCGACTCGTTCAGGAGCAGTTGCAGCTTCTCTATGCCAACATTGACGGTTTCCTGCTCGAGGGCCGCATCGTTGATGCGAACGAGCCTCAGCTTCAGAGCCGTGGCATTGCTCGTCTCCTTGTCCACTGTGATGCCTGCTTCGGGATTGGTGTTGATCTCGAAAAACTTGCCCAGGGGCGTGAATTGCTCAAAGTCGCGCTCGATCCAGCGTATGCCATCGGAGCTCACATCGATGCGTCTGCTCTGCAGCTGGCCAAAGTCCTCTTCCGGAGTATTCAGCATTAGCACATTTATCCACTTGCTGGTGCGCATCAGCGATATAACAATCAATTCCAGCGGCATGTCTATCAACGGATTTTAGCACTTCCGAATGTTCTGTCAAAGAATTTAAGACTTAAGCTTCGTAATTGATAGATGGAGTAGTCTAAAAGCTGCTGGAATTGGATTACAACGAGCTCTAGCGCATTTGAGCGCCGTAAAATGCAAAGAACTAAAGTATATATATCTTACGATTTATAACCAATTAATTTAAACGTCTCAAAGTAAAAGTTCAACAAAATTCAACACTTTTTAACAGCTAACTGACATCCCCTGATGATCGACTGGAACAGAGAACTGATTTAAGCAATACCACAAAGGCTACTTGATTACACTTAAAGAGCCGAGTCAGTTATCGTCAGAGTGCCTTACCAGAAGCTTATCGATTTGTTTTATTATCGAAAGCAAGCTTTCAAAACGATAAAACCCGCCGTTGCTATTTGAAAATGTTTCCTAAGATTCATAGGTAGATTATATAAATAACTTTACTCTGAAATGAAAAAATGCAAAACATAACAGTTTTGTATACCTTAATTGATTAAAAATAAAGTTAAAAAAAAAAATAATAAATAAAATTATTTAAATAAATAAAATTTGTTATTTTTAAAATTATTTATCGGAATAATTAATTAAGTTTTATATAAAAACTATATTACTATGTAATATAATATTTATTTTTTATTCAATAAATATTAGTATTAATTTATATTATATCAAATTATTATATATATATTATAGTTTATAGGAATATTTTATTTGGCATTAATAAATATACATATTTTTATTTAATAAATATTAATATGTATTCCTATTATATATTTTTATTTTTACTGATTTTTAAATTAATTAATTTAGCAAAAAATAAATAAATATAAAAAAGTGTATACTATTCAATATAAATAATTTTGATGTTATTCAATAAATATAAATATTAATTTAAATTTATTTACTGTTCAGTATATAAATATTTACCTTGCTTTTATGTATAATAAAATAAATGGTAAACTGAGAAGCTTCCCTATAGTATATCTGCTAGTAGCCATGGCCTCCTACGAAATGCATTTTACCCTCATATAGTCGCACCACACACGGAAACGAAATAAATCGAGGGCGAAATGAATGGCCTCAAAAGGATGAATGGTCAGTTTGAAGGCAAGACAGAAAAAATATAAAAACAACAACAATAAAAAAAAAAACAACAGCAACAGCAATAACAACAACAACATCTGGTAAGTTACGAAAAGCAAAAATATTGAAACGAAAAATACAACTGACAAAATTTTATTTCGTTTTATTTGCAAAGCGGAGCACTCCATAAATTTTCGGGCGCTCAATATTGTTTCAGATCATAAATCATGGCTGCATTTGCGTACGGACGTACATTTCAAACACACACACACACACATATACATATGTACTATATTCACACACGCAGCTGCATTCGTATGGCAGAAGGTTTGAGGCAGTGGAAACTCGGGTACTCCATCTGCATCTGCAATGGCCCAGACACCGACAGAATGTACCTTGTATCTGACATTGGGCTGCAGATGCAGATGCACTGCAAAAAAGCGCACACTAAAACAACAACAACAGCAGCAACAACAACGACAAGCTAAAGGCCAACAGCAACAGCAACAGCAACAACAACAACAACAATAGCAACATGCATTCATAGTGCATTTGTATAAAGTCAATGCCGCTGCACTTGTGCCCCGGCGTATTCGCATCCGCATCACGAGCTGCACCCCTGCCCCACCCAGTCCACCCCCTTCGTTGCGTTGGCGTATGGCATTCAAATGCAGTGGGAACGGGTGACGGGGGACGGGAGACGTGCTTCGGGTCTATAGGCTGGCCAACTGAAGTGGTCTGCAAATTCACATTAACGCAAATTCCGTAAGTGAAGTATGTTGCATTTGCCGCACGTAAATTTAAAAAGCGCGGCACAATAACAAAACATCGTTCGCTTATTTACAGAACACACAGATACAGATGTGCAAACAGAGACACAGACACGGACACAGGCACAAATACATTTACAGCTGTGGCTGGATTTGGCGGAGTCTCCGTCACACAGTCGGAACCGGAGCTGGAGTAATTGAAGGAGTCAGCTCTCTGCAGCCAGCCACAGCCATAGCTACAGCTGCATAGGCATTCGCATTCGCATTCGCACTCGCACTCACATATTTGAGATACATAAATCTTGCGGATGAGCGTGTGGCACTGCTGCCGGACAGCCAGCTAGCCAGCTAGCCAGCCAAGTGGGCAGCTACTGGGCTAGAGCTTGGCTGACTGGCGATTGGGGGTCAGCAGCAGCTGTGCTTCAGTCGGCGTGGGTGCAAATATTGGAAATATTTGGCCATTGAAACGAGCAGGCAAGCAAAAGAATAGAACAACGGCCCGCAGACTAAATTGAAACTCTGAATTTTTGTGTACCGGCACTCAAAAGTTATTAAGCTGGCAATAGAATTGGAAAGGAATATATATAGCCACCATAGTCAGCTCATAGAGAAGACTTAATGTGAAAACGATTTTAAAGAAGTTTTCCAATTAATATTTAATATACTTAAAGTTGACTAAATATATAGTATAAATTAAATAGTATATACAAATTTATTAGATTTTGTTTTCTATATATGTAGATATAAAATTATTCACAATTTCCTTAATGCTAATGATTTTCTTACTTCATCGGCTTTAAGCTAAGAACTTGATATATTATTTTAGCACTCTACTTTATGGAGAATATCGATAGATTATATAAAACCATACACATTTCATTTTGTTCAAAAATTTGCCTATATTTTTTCAGGTTGTCACCTACATATATTTTATTTAAATATATCTGATATTTTTGCCTATGAAACACTTCTTATATGACCCATATACCACGACAAACATCCTCAATGAAACCCACAAAAAATGTCAATGCTGATAAACTCGCTTGCCAAAACACTTAAACCCTCGGCAACAGCCCCGCTCTCCCCCTGGGCTGGTATGGAATGTGGCCAAATGCAATCCTTTACCTTTAACCGACTACAGATGGCGCTTTAACGCGATGGCAATCCATCTGCGGCGCTAATAAAAGATTTCGCTAAATTGATACTGTCGATGGAGTAATTAAACTGCAATTTTTATGAGACATGTCGGACAGAGGCCGCTGCTATCACAGATCGAATAAATTATATTCACTGGCTATTGAACGCACTCTCCTTCCCTCTCTCTCTCCCTTTCTCTCTCTTTTCTCTTTCACGCTCTTTCTCTCTTGCACACACACACACACGCAGTGCCTCCTGTGCATTGTTTCTGGCCGCATACGCTGGCTCGTTCGTTTGCACGGTAAATTTTCCGATGAAATTTTCCCGCATTCCGACTCTTGTTCCGGCTGCGTCACGGCGTGCTGTATTTTGTTTTTGGCACGCAAATAAATTTTTGGCCAAAGTTTTGAGCTCGTCTGATTGCATTTTAATTTCCCGCCTTTGCGTTTGTATTGAATTGCAGTTGGCTCGAACTTCGTGATTGCCAGCTAATGATTGTCGCCTCCCAGCTCCTGCTGACCTGCCCTCCACTCCCTCGGCTGACTTGGATAGAAAGTCTGCCTGGCACACATTCAAATGATTTCAAATACAAATTTCAAACAGCTCCAAATTGTAATAAAAGAATGTACAAAAAAAAAAAAAAAAAATATATATATATATGCTCTCACCATGAAGTTGTTAATTTTATGACGTCATTACTCGCCTCGTAAAATCCGCTCAACAGTTGGCCGTCTGCTCCGCGGAGCAACAGGCGCTGGCAATGAAGCCTCAATTTTATGAACTGGAGCTGGAGCTGGAACTGGTACTGAGACTGCGACTGGGACTACGACTGGGACTGATACTTGTGTTTGGGTTTGGGTTTCGAAATCTGCGCAATTCAGCTCGAAAGTTGTGAGCTTTATTTGCAACCGGAATTTTATTGTTATTGCGCCATTTATGAGTTTTACGAGAATCGCCTGGCTTTCCAGTTCGCTTCTAATTTGGGGCCCATTGTTTTGGGCTGTTGGCGCGCTGACTTGTCACGATGTGCCCATGAATCAAAGGCGTCCCTGCATTGGTGACATTTCAACACTAGACACTAAAGGTTACAGTCAAATTATAACTTGTGAACTTAAGCTGACTTGAATAGGTGTGAAGATCCGAAAATATGTGACATTAATCGATTGTCAAGGTAAGCTTGCTCTTGTGGCTTAACTTGGAAGAACTCAAAATAAAGGAAGTAATTAAAAGTCCGAGTGCTTATATAAATATAAAGTCTTCTGCGTACTATTTTATATTATTTATATTTATTTCTTTATTCTAACTCCTATTGTGTTGACGGCTTACCAAGCTTCACAATTTATAGAAACCTTGACTTTAAGTTCTAATTATATTTTATACGAATTATAAACCTCTCATATTTTCCATTCACTCACTTCCTATTTTCTTGTCCGCTGCTCGTCTCTGTCAAGGGATTGAATTTCCGGTAATTTAAGGCCTTCATATTAGATAATTGTGGAAGAGGTGAAATTGAGGTGCTGCTGTCATTCAATCTGCCGCCCACCCGCTGGCTGGAACATTTATGCGCCATGTTCTACTTATATTTTTATGGCCGCTCCCTGCAACTCAAAACCACAGCCACACACACACACCCATACACACACCCAATCAAGAGACTAGAATGGGTTCCATAGACTCAGGCATTCACCTCGGCACATACTCGAAAAGTGAACGAGCAGCATATTTAAAACATGGATTCTTAATTAGTAGCAAATGTATCCCATTTGCATTTTTTTAACACGTTGCCAGCGCGATTCACGTACACATGTATACACAGAGGTATAGCCGAACTACGGTCTGTGCGCTAGTTAACACCCCCTGGATGGCGGGCCCAACCACTCCTCGAGCCGGGAGCAAATTAGTCGAGAGCCCGAAGCTGAGCTGCGTGCTGCGTGCTGTGTGCTGGATGCTTCTGCTAGCCGACTTGAACGCGGGTCCCCATTCGCTGTTGTTGCCGACAGTGCGTCTCATAATGCGCGCTAATTAATCCTGCAAGGATCGGATTTTCCCGACGTAATTATATTTACAGCCGCCATGCGAGCTTAGCAGCAGCAAGCAGCAAGCCGTATAGCAGGAATTTTATGATGTACAGCGACGCTTTAGATGTGAGGGGACGCACCCAATGGCAACAGCCTGGCAGCAACGGTTGCTGGCACATGCGAGTTGCTGGCGTGAAAGGATCCGCAAGAATATTAAATTAATTTTTAAGTACGAGCAGAAGACGCAGCCAAAGGCAACAGCAAAGCCAAGACGAAGCGAAGACGAACAAAGCAGCAAAAAATTAATGCGCTTCTCTTGCTTGCGTCTATTGTCTGGTGGCAGGAAAACTTTCACCATATTTCAGTACTCGATTACAGGGTGATTCGAATTAACAAGAGAATAATACAGTATAAAAGCAATAGCAATGGAATATAAGTCAATATAAGACAATAATATTAACCTATATAGAAAAGAAGGTAGTATAAAATTGCGCTATGGAAAAAAAGGAAACATATAATATTAATATAAAAAATAAAACAATAAATAAAAAATAAAACAAGTAAGAAAGCTCTAGTCGAGACTGCTCGACTACGAGATCCCCTGAACCCTTGGAGCAATAGATATTTCAATACTTTTTCGCGACTTTCAGCTTACACAAGAAACACGCACACACACACACACACACGCACGTACGCACACACAGGTATACATACACACACGCATACAGACACACATACACACACACACGCATACAGACACAAACGCATACACACACACACATACACACACAAGCACCCACGCATAAACACGCATGGGCTGCAGTGTGCGCTTACTATGAGAACTTAATTGTTTAATAACTTTTTTTATGGACGTACGATCTTCATGAAACTTTTAGATTATGATTATAACATGAATATGCATCTCTAGTCTCTAGTATTTGAAATACGCTTTTTACAAAAGTGAGGGTGAGGGGGTGAATTTAGAGGTGGGGGGTAAATTTTAACAAAAACCGAAATTGTATAAATTGCATATAAGCATACATTAAAAATTTGGAGACTCTAGCAATAAAGGTGTAAAAGATATAATTTTATAACTGGGTTTCGATAAGGTTTTTTATCGATAAAAAAAGATCGAGATGAGTTATCGATTTTTAATGATAAACTTGATATGCGCGCTGTAATTACGGACATTTTAAAAAAAATTTGAAGTCTCTAGCTCTTATATCTTCTGAAATCGACGCGTTCATACATACGGACAGACGGACAGACGGACAGACGGACAGACAGACGGACAGGGCCAAATCAACTCAGCTCGTCACCCTGATCAAGAATATATATACTTTGTGGGGTCTGCCACGCCTCCTTCTCCCTGTTACATACATTTCAACAAAACCATTATACCCTGATTTCCCATTGAAAATGGGTTCAGGGTATAAAAATGGTTCAAATTACTTGAAATTATATTAAGCTTCAAAGAGCTTGCAATAAATATAATGAACTTTTAAAATTAACTAAAAAATACCATACAAATCGTTTGCAAGTTGAATATTATATTAAAACGAATTGCACTCATAAGAGCTGTCAATCAATGCAAATGTATTCAAATGCATTTCAATATTTCTATTTTACCTTTTGCATTTTCATAAGAAATAATTAATATAATTAAAGCTCTCATGGCCTATAAATAAATTCAAATATAGCTTTCACCTTTTCCCCATTAATATGTTGAGCATAATAGATCTAGCTTAGCTAATAGCTATTGACTAAGCACTTTTAATGCCAAGTACTAATATATAGTTATTGGCATATAAACAAATCAGTTGATTTCGTAAAATATCTCTTTCTTTATTACAAGTTTTATCTAATCCATAAACACCAACTATTGCTCATGATGGACTTTATTATTAGCTTATCGAGCCACATCTTTACATAATAACCCTGTATATTAAGAAGTTTTTGTCTCACAGATTGTTGCCATGATTTTTATTTCTTTTAGTCGCGAATATAAATAATGAGTAGTACATTTTGTTTATTTAAGTTTGTTATTTCTCTTTTTGCTGCTGCTTTATTGCTTTCCACGCGGGTGGCTAACTGGCAACTAGCAACTGTGGCAACTGGAGTTTGGTGTTGTTCGTGATGTTGGCGCTTGGCAGATCCGCCGATACGTTGGCAAATTAGTTTGAGCAGTCTGTTGAGCTCCCTATTCGTTGATTTAGTTGCCCCCTTGTTCTGGTCGTGTATAGAGCTCTGGACAGCATAATGAATGCTCTCTGTTCTTGTCCAGATATCAGCGGGCGATGATTAAGTCGGCGACTAGCCGACTTTCGACTTTCGAACTAGCGACTACAGCGAGCATCCGAGTAGCCGAGTTTACACAATGCAAAGTTAAGTGATTACTTTTTGCTGGGCAGCAGATTCAAAGTCCTGGCGTAAAGTTCTGCTCGTAAATTTATTAAGCAAAAACTTAGAAAACTTTCGACGAACAGCGCATACGCAAGTTTTGCAATTGTATT